CAGGATTCCCTCCTATACTGGGATCCAGAAGTTGTGAGTCGCTCACCGCCTCTCTCTTATCACCCAGACCTTAAAAAGCTGGTAGAGGAGTCAAAGTCAAAGATACATTTTTTTTAATAAAAAAAATATATCTTTTGTCAATACAATCATGACAGCTAGATCACAACAAAGATGTTTACTTCTTCCCTGAGCTGGTTCAGCTTTCAGTATTCACACTGCGGTGCAGCTTCACAGCAGCACTCAGAGCTACAACAACTACAGTCGTGAGAATGAGACGTCCTGCCTTAGTCGCTCTCACCCCAAAACACCTTTATTTCAAGAAACCTACAATCACAAGTGCCGGAATGTCTTGCCAAGCCATGTCCACCAGCGGGTGGGATGTCTTAACTCTTGTTCCACTTGTTTTCATACCTTGTCCTTGTCTCTGTGTGTGTCTCTCCTGGCTGCTCTGCAGCACGTCTCTCATTTCGTTTAGTTTGCACCATCTTACCAGACTGCATTCAGGGCTAACGCTCATATAAAAAGTGTTTTTTTTTTTTTTTTTTGTGAAGTTAACCTCTCTCAGCTTCCACTTGAATTGCAAGCTTTTCTGACATTAAAAACAACTCTCTTCTTTCTTCCTGATTTCTGTCTGATATGGGGTTCTTTTGTTTTTATTTTTCCTGTGAACATTTGCAATTTTTTTTTCCAGTTTCTGTGAGGTAATAGGAGGAGTATCGTATGGGGAGGTTGGGGTAGGATCACCTTTGGTCTTTATTAAGTTATCTATAATGGAGAATCCATGAATGTCTTCAGCGGGCTGCTTTAGCCCGCCTCTGTCTTCGGTTAAATAAATAAATATTAATGATCAGTAAATAATGTTATTGTTGCATTATCGCAATTGTTAAAATGATAAGAAAACATGTATCATTGGTGCCTGATTGTAGCTACATTTTGCTTTTTCTGCCTTTCATTTTTAATCTGTGGATAAATTCGTATTTTAATTAAAAATTTCATTTAAAAATGTTACATTGTCTCTTTCTTATTATGAAATGTAACTGTGGAGTTGTCCTTAAAATATTTAAGCATAATACTGGTGGTGTATCTCACACTTGTAGAGGACTTTTGCTGGATACAGACATACAAAACAAAGTCCAGACTGCCTGAAGAGAAATGTGCGTGACATTTTTGCTCACAAAAGGTATTCACCCAAGAAAATAAAGTTTCCCCTGGTTCACCATTACGCAAGGCGATACTTTCAAGCAGATAAGAACATTCTAACTATATGCAGGATGTGGTTTTTGCTTCTTTGCATTGCCTTTTTCAATTTGAATAACATTGCAGAGCTGAATAACGCAACATTGTGGTTTAAGAGTGAAACGTGAGCCTCACATAATTGAGTCAAAGCAGCCAAACAGCAGATACCCAAAAGGGAAACAGAATATTTCTTGTGTTTGTTTCTGAACAAGTCCTACCATCTAACTATATTTTATAAATCTATATTAAAAAAATATATATTATATATTCCTGCCTCTTGAATTCGGGGGATTCCTTTTTTAAATCACATTAGAACAACAAACTATATATTTTATTTGGTTATAAGGTGATAGACCAACACAAATTCAATTCAGTTTATTTATATAGCGCCAATTTACAACACATCTCATCTCAAGGCACTTTACAGTGCACAGTTCATAAAGTCAAATTGATTAAAAGTTTTCTATCTAAGGAAAACCAGTTGATTGCATCAACTCATTGACTCAAAGGCAATCCCTCACACTAAACATGCTTGTAGCGACAGTGGAGAGGAAAAACTCCCTTTTAACAAAAAGAAACCTCCAACAGAACAAGGCTCAGTGTGAGCAGCCATCTGCCGAGGCCGACTGGGGTTCAAGGAGACAAAAGCAGATCAAGGAGACAGAAGCAGACAAACTGGCATGTAAATCTAAACGGTTCTGTTGAAAATAACCTGGGTGAACAAATACTGTCAAGGGCAACAACACACAGCAGAAACATCAGTGATGAAGTCATAACATGCCGTGTGAAGCTTTGAAGATCTCAAATTTTTGATCCCCACAGCCTCCACTCTGGGTCCCTGAGCAAGACCCTTAACCCCACACTGCTCTCCTGGCTCTGCACAGTGGCAGCCCACTGCTCCCAAGGGGGGTGGGTTAAATGCAGAGGTAAATATTTCAGGTGTGAGATCAATAAAGTTCAATTATTATTAGAACGGCTGAATCAAATATAAACCTGCCATGAAATGGCTGTCCATCTAAACAGAGAAGCAGGCTAAGAAGCCCATTGTTACTCTTGAGGAGCTGCAAAGATCACCGGCTCAGGTGGGAGAACCTCTCAAGACTATATATATATATATATATATATATATATATATATATATATATATATATATATATATATATATATATATATATATATATAAATATATAATGGTGTTGAATTGGTGGATGGAAAAAACATTAGAAAGTTCTGGGTGAAGATAGGTAAAAGTCATATAGGGACACAGGAAACATCAAGGTTCCCTACTCCAGTTCCAGCATTCTAGCCTATATAGAAAACCACCCAGATCATGTGAAGACTTTTCTGAAAAATGTCACTGAAAGCAAGATTCACTAGATTCTTTTCTACAGCAGTAACCGAGAAGTTAGAGCTGTAGCTGAAAACCTGCTGAAGCCCTTGGGGGATTTGGACAGCAATGCTAAGCATAGAGTCAGAGCTACAAAGGGAGAGTTTAGATCAGGTAAGTATTCACGTGGTAAAATGGCCTATTCAAACTCTGAGGTAAGGATTGAAAAAGTATATTCATGGAGATTCATCCTTTGATCAAAGGGAGTTAAAGCATGTTTGCCAACAAGTGAGGGTAAAAAAGTTTGGATTAAGCTTGTAAAGAGAAATTACTCAAAAGATTTTGCTATAACTTTCCAAAGATTGTATAATGGTCTTGGATTGACTCAAAAGGGGTGGATTCAAATGCGCACCACAAAAAGGGAAATTAACTAAACAATGTTCTATTTCCTTTTAATTCCCAATATTAAAGAAAAAAAGCTGTGATAAAAATCCCAGGTGGGATGGAGGTTGTGATTCTATAATACCAAAAATGTAAATATTTATATTATGATAATCATTTGTAGTTTTAAAAATATTATGCAAATATAAAAAACATAATTTATTTTATGCCAGTTGCTGTCAATCATCTCTAATTCTAACCCTTAGATAAAACTAATCATTATTACATTAAAATAACATTTTACCATGAACTTTTTGGAAATTTTATTATTTTATGTATTGCTTTAAACTAACCATAAAACGTTATAACCTTGGGTTGGTATCAGTTACACGTTGATAATAACACATATGGGAATTGCTTTGGTAATTTCTTGGAAATACCAGGAGTGTGAAGAAGTGTCCGGGGATTTCTTTTTGATGTTTTTGCTTTCTGTTTAGCCCTTGGCGACGCTTATTAAATTCACAGGCAGGGAGGGGGGAACGGTTTTACTTCCTCTTCCATTTATGGGCTGGAATTCTCCCTACGTCATCTCATCGTCAGCTTTCGTCTGTTGTCGGCAGAGATGCCTTCAGGGACCCACCTATAGTCCGATATTTTGAATAGCGGTGGAAAATCTTCAGGTGCGTTACATTAGGTGGAAAATATGAAACTTTTTCTCATTATTATTTACATTAGTTGGTATTAAACATGAGCTCTTCTTTAAAGAAACATTTCAGAGAGTGAAAGAAATCTATACAATTATAAGACAGTAGTAACAATGGTAATAGTATGAGAAGTGTTACATTTATATTTTTTTCATTTCACCAGCATTAATGATGCCGCTGTAAATAAAAAAATAATAATATGGTAAATTGTGTATAAATCTATAATTTTAAAGAAAATGTATTCATATACACTACACCAAGATTGAAGATAATTTGTCGTAATTCTTTTTCCATGGTGATAAAAAGAAATAGCACATTTTCATAATTGAGAAGTTAATAAGCCATTTGTAAAGTTTTTACGCCCTCACTCTTTAAGTAACGGTTCTAGATTTAATAAAAAGTTTTTGTCATATTTTGGATCTTTTTAGCTCCTAATCTATTTTATATATTATTTAGCAAGTAAATCAATCTGTTTATGTGCAAACGTGTTGTTGAGCAGGGGCAGGGCTAGATGGGGGGCCATGGCCACCCTTAGCCTATCATTGGCGACCCCTGTGGCCACTGCTACCATTTTTTTTACCTCTAATATAGATAGAGGCAGCGGTAATGCTCGCAAGTGGAATATTCAAAACATTTTGATTTTTTTTGGTTAATTATAGGCTACTTATCAATATACTAACATCAAAGATGATAAGTGCAGAATTCATGCTCTTTTCAGAGCTAGATTTTGTGTTTTATGGGGTAAGGAGAAAATGTGTTTCCACAAGTCATATCGGAGTGTTCATTGAAATCATAGATAAATAAAAATTTTAATAAAAATGTATCAAATAATCAATTTATTTAGATATTAGTACTTGTAAATACCAATTTTATGCAGAATGTGTATTGATACAAATAGGTAAGTAATGACAATGGAAAAGATTTACGCCCCAGAACTCAAAAATGAAATAATTGTATCCACTATACCTTTTATTTAGAAAGAACGGATGTTTAAATATCTATTTGTCAGCAAGGGACGTAGGAAAGTATAGTTAGTTTTTATTTAGAAAATATGGATGTTTTGCTCGTTCATTTTCCTGTTGGAACAGTGTAGATTGACACTGAAATTTTGGTGCCCATCTACTTTCGGCCACCCCTCAGTGTACATTGGTTATTGCCTGGCCATCCTTTTAAAACTTTCCTGGCTATGCCTCTGTTGTTGACACTGTTTATCTAGATAAGTTTTAAATCAGGGCTGTCATACCCGGTGACGATCCCACAGTGTCAATATTTTCCCCACCTGTTTGTGTTCTGATATTTCCCAATGTAATTGAATGCACCACTACAGTGAAACACCGAGGACTCTTGAGAGGCGCCTCCCACTTACGCAGAAAGAGAAGCAGAAACTGGTATAATATGTCAAAACGCAGGTCTGTCTGTCAGTAAAGTGTTGATAGAAACTGAAGTTAATCGTCTTCAAGATTTGTTTTGTATTCAGTGTTTACTCACCTATTGAACATGGGGTTCCTGTTGACCAAGATGATGTCTGTGTTCGGAGACAAAGGTAAAAATAAACATTTTTAATTTAATTCTGTCTTATCTTTATATCATATATGATTACCTGTATTTTTCCTTTGAGTTTAAAAGTACTTGTCAGTTTTTTTGTGGATATGAGTTTCCTGAACTTCACTTGAAGTTTTTATTGTTATTATTATTACTGTTGTTCTTGTTATTATTATTGGGCAAATTGAACAAATGTTTGGGTTTGTTTGTTTTCTTTGCAGAACACAAAGTTATCATAGTGGGTTTGGATAATGCTGGGAAAACAACAATCCTCTACCAGTAGTAAGTGAGCTTACTTCTTTATACTAATTCTCTTTATAAAGTTTTTTATTGGACTTAGTTAAAAAGTGTTTTTCCTTCACCAATACTTCTAGTCTGACAAAAGAGGCCGTCCACACGTCACCCACCATTGGCAGCAACGTTGAGGAGATCATTGTCCGCAACACTCACTTCATGGTTTGGGACATCGGGGGACAGGAGAGTCTGAGGGCCAGCTGGTACTCCTACTACTGCAACACAGAGGTACCTTTCATGCGTTTCACAACACTGAGAGATCTCCTCAGTCTGATTTAGGACTGGAGACAGGAACCGAAAGCGTTAAAGGTGCCTGAGGTCCTCCAGACTACTTAGTTACAGCTTCATTTAATAATTTACAGGTTACTGCATCTACATGTGATGTTAAATACTGTAAACTGTTGCCTTTTCAGATTGTCATTCTGGTTGTGGACAGCACCGACCGTGAAAGGCTGACTGTAACAAAAGAGGAGCTGCATAGAATGCTTGCTCATGAGGTATTGTTTACTTTAAACCCTAATTCAGCTTATTATTAGAAATTACACTCTACTTTAATGCATAACTTAACTCTAATGCCTTAACAGGTAGGTGCAAATGTGTTTAAAAATAACTTCTTTTGAAATCGCTATTATCTTTGTATTTCAACGCCTTGACGTAAAACTCTTTTGTTGATGGGGCGAGTTTGTACTCTGCCGTTTTCACGTTTAAAACACACCCCCCATTTTCCATGTATGACTAATAGCGTTGTGTAAGCAGAACAAGTTCTATCAACCCATGACACAACGTGATGAGGAAGTGTTTTTTAGGCTGTTTTTAGTCAGCATCTTCAAAAGTTCCGCTGAGGCAGCTCTTTGCTTGATGTTTTGGAGGTTTTTGCAGACGTTCATGACCTCATCAAATCCCCTATCAGTAAACAACATTCCTCTTTTTTGGATGCAGGACCTGCAAAATGCTGCCATTCTAGTTCTGGCAAATAAGCAAGACATAAAGGGCTCGATGACAGCGGCGGAGATCTCTCAGTGCCTCACGCTCGACTCCATCACAACACACTCCTGGCATGTCCAAGCCTGCTGCGCTCTAACTGGAGAAGGGTGAGTACATAGCTCAGTTTGAGCCAGTAATACCAGATTATTTTTACGATGCATATTAAAACCCTCTTCCCTTTTCTGCTTTTGCAGTCTTCCTGCCAGCTTGGACTGGATGAAAGCGCACGTTGTTGCAAAATGATGCTCCCTAGAGTGGATCGAACTTCTTAAAGAAAACTGAGCCTCCCCCTATCTGTGCTAAGGAGGCTGCCTTGTCAGTATGATTTACAGCAATTCGGGCCAGTGTAATAGAATCTGAAGCAAAGCCGGCTTTGTTTTTGCAAAGGAGAGCTGATTTGATTCAGCCTCAGCACGAACATAAACCTTAGAGGTTTTAGAGCTATTTTTTTAAATATAATTCTTACTGATCTATGCCTTTGTATGTTGATAATGCGTCAGTTGATGTTTACTTTCTCCTTTTTTTAATCTTAAACTATGTTGCACTGCTCCATCTTTTTAGGAGAGATGCATAAAAGTCCGGTAAAACAACCCCTATCCCATTAGGATGCATTCATAAAATAACCACTTTTATCGATCTTAAGCCCATCGATTGTGCAAAACCTTCCACAGAAATACAAATAAGGGAGAAGAGTTCTATGTAAAGGCATGTCTGTCTGGTTTACAAAATTATAAATATCACAACAAAACAGTTCCTTTAAGTGGAATGTATTTAAATAATTATATATGCACGCTTCAGAGGGGTCAATTTCTCTTCTTAGTGATAAAAAAATTTGAAGAATCTATTTGTTGATCATTATAATCAAGCAAATGGCTTCTATTTTAGATTTGTGAAAATCTACTGACAGAGCTGAAGGTCAGTTAGAAAAGCTAAGATAGAATTGTTCCCCGAAGGCCAAAAATGATCTCCCCCCAGCCACAACAAATAACACTTTATTTCCAGGTTTTTGTGCCAGTAGTAGCAGACAACCCTGGATGTATCATTAGAGCTTGACTTGTTGCCAATATTATTTAAAACAAAAATAGAACAGCAAACTTATAAATGACATGGGATATTTATCAGCATTTAAAGGGCGTAACTAGACTAATGTTGTCCTTTCACAAAAAGCATGTAACTTGAACAGAGACAGGCTCATTTTAAAAGGTGCCTTTTTATTGTTAACACAGCTTCTTATGCACAGTTTAGCAGCTAATTATATGTTTACACTATGAGAATAAATTCCTGTGGCCTTGTTTATCTCAGTAACTATGCAATGTTAGAAAGAAAAGCTTAAATCTGATGGATAAAATTAATTATGTTGTTTTTTTGTCACTGAATGCCAGCAGTTTTTTATCTGAAGGTGTTTTTTTTATATGTATCAAAGCTCACTAGTTTTATTCTGTATATTATAGAATAAACTATTTCCTGGTTGGAAAAATGAGCTAGCTGCTAAAGAAAATGACTTATATTTAAAATGTATATACTGTATTTTGTAAATTGCTTTTGTAATATATATGTATACTTTTTGAAATAAATGTAAATATTACAACTTTCACTGTAGTGTGTGTGTGTTTCGCTGACTGCTCCTGGAATTGATGGGGGAGTGAAGCCCGCTCCCTTTGTTTGAGGCTACTTCTAACTACACCTTTTTCCTTGCATGTTAGGAAACCATACCCAGTAGATTGATTGTCTGAACTATAAAGAAAAGAAAAATTATATAAACATGAAAGAATGAGCCGAATTTTACCAGGATAAACCTGCCCCACTAATAAGATCAGTGGGGCAGATTAACATAACTTTTATGTTAATGCTTTTTAAGCAAATACTTTATGATTATAATGAACTTAATAATAAAAAAGTGCGAAAGAAAAAAAAATCGATATAAAGAATAAAGGGGGCATCCGGATTTGAACCGGAGACCTCTTGATCTGCAGTCAAATGCTCTATCACTGAGCTATACCCCCGCCTACATTCGATCCCTGCCAGCTAGTACATTAAAAACCTACTGATGTACGTTGTTTGTTAGAGTGGTTTTATATATTATTAAGTACCTTTTTTGTATCACCGACAAGAACAGCTTATCTGGCGTGTAAATATATATGTTATTGTATGAGATATACGGAATTCTATTCTGAGAGAAAGTCAAACAGCTAAGCTAGTTGTTAGCTAGCTAGCATATTTCTAAACGGTGTAAAGCTAGCCAAGTAAAGGGCTGTTTCACATTTTTTTAGAAACCAACGCCGTTCCATTTCACTTTAAAATCCAAACTACGAAGAATTATCAAACATATTATCAAAATGTTTTTATAAAATAAAATTTTTAATATCTGGAATATGTATTCGATTGGTAAAAATCAGGGGGGAAACAGCTTTATTGATATTAAGAACGAGCTGGAGGTATTTTGTCCTTTAAAACTGTAAAACTTAATTTTAGCAGTTTAGTTTCAGTTTGTGGAAATTCTCTTTTTGTCACCTTAGCATTGCACATTTTTTAAGCCTATTTGACTGTTAACAGGCAGACACAACAGCAGCTGAAAAAATCTTTTCTCTCTGTTTTTATGCCTTTACGATAATTGAATGTATCTTGTAAAGACTGCAAAGTCAAGAGATTTAAATAAACTTTTTATAAATATGAAAAACAAAAGCAACTGCAAATCCAACATGTCAAATTTGTCGGATTTCATATGAAGCCTGTTTAATGTGAAAAGGGGACCAGGTGGCATCAGGAAGGAGCTTACAGATACAAAGGATTTGTTTTTATTCACTTTTATTCACTTCCTTAAAATGTACCTGCTTTGAACTGTGCATCAACTGAGAATATTGAGCGACATCTTGTGGCTAAATCTGTAACTGCAATGTGTGTAAAAGGCTCTTGATTTTTGCTAATTCACAGTCATCTGATTTAGTATTACTTCAATTTTATTTTTTCATGGACTTTGCTTTGTTATATAATAAAGATCACTGCTATGTAACTGTCTAACCATTTTAATGTTGCCGTCCTTACAGTGCAGTCCAGCAGAAAAGCATTTCCTTGGCAGACAGTAGGAGGAAATTACCATCTCCAATGATTGCTCATAATTGCTAGTGACTTTTTTTAACCAACTAATGAATAACACATTGCCTCTGGGGGTTCGACATGAAATAATTTCAATTTGCCTCTCTTTTATGGCCGATTAGAGAGATAAGCTATCATAAGATAGGACTTTACTGATCTCAAAATCACTTGTTAAATCAGCTTTAGTAAACAACAGGAGGTGCAAATAAAGTTGTATCAGGGAAATTAAAATTTACAAAGACAGGCTATGATCTGTTGCAGTGCAAATACAGTATATTGGTACTAATTGTTATTTTATGCTATTATAGTGCAAACACAGTGTTGTGACTTAAAGAGACTGTGCCATGACCTTAAATAGGCCATTTATGCTAAAAAGAAATCCCCCTATATTCACCTATATTCAATTTCTCAGTTTCGTCGAGGATGTGAGCAGCAGCGTTTTAGATCAACTGCAGCTGTCTGATTCTTTTTTTTTTTTTTAACAGACCTTTAAAGACACTGTTGCAGTAATCAGTGCAACCTGCTGAGTAAGAACCTGCTGAGACATTAGTCCTAGGATCCTGGAGATGTTCTTTAGGTCAGTGGCCCCACTGCTTTAGGTGATAAAAGACTGACTTTGTTATTGTCTTTATGTGCTTTTGAAGGTCCAGATCTGAATCCATCACTACACCAAGATTCCAAGCCTGAATGGTGGTGTCTGATTGTATTAACGGAAGCTGTGAGCTAACTTTACTTCAATTATGTTTTGATTCAGCTGCAGAACATTTTGTTACATCCATGAATTTACTTCTTCCATGCATTTACCCAGAATTAGTTCAAAGACACCTGGTGACATTGTAATGTACAGCTTGTAGGTTGTCTGCATGGTATGGTAGCTTATTATAATCTGAGTTAGGGGTAGTATGAAGACATTAAAGGCGGGGGTTAAAATGGAACCTTGGGGGACGCAACATAAGTTTTTGCTGGTCTCCGATATAAAGTTACAATATTAGACAAGGTGAAACAAGATATTTTTAGTTGAGATTAAAAAAACAGCAGAAATACTTTTGACATGATATGAAATATGAAATTTCATAAGAGGCATTCGTAGGCCAGGCTTGGTTAGATTCTTAATCTCCATCTCTAATCCTAGATGTCTTAAATATCAGTGGATTCACAGCTGGTTTGGAAAATGTGAGCAATCCTTGCTGTTTGTCATAGTTATAATATTTTTACTCTGAAAGTTCCAACAGACAAAAGCAGGAACAACAAATCCATGTTTGCAGGATAAAATCAAACAAGAAAATTACCTTTTATGAAAGTGATAAACTTTAGCTGAATGTATTTGTTTCGTTCATCTCTGCTGCATCCCTAAAACATCCCCGAGGAGGAGAGAAAGGGGTGTAGTTAGAGAGTGGAAACCGGCTGGTGTCGGAAACCAGTGAGATTCAGAGGGACAGAGGAGACAACAGTGGGTGGAAGCAGACGGAAATTTGTTTTTTGTAAAGAAAATAAATCGGGAGAGGAAAGAAGGAGAGGAGACGGTATTTTTTGCTGCCTAACATGTGGTTCCATTTGATGATGCTGTTTCTCTGTCTCTCCCAAACAGAGCCGATCAAAGTTTGGGATCAACAGCAGACAGGTGAGCAGTAAATATTTTTATTTTCTACTTCCTCCTGAGCTTTAGAACATGGATGTGTCTTTCTTAACATTAACATGCAGTCATAGGGGATTTATTTATTTCTAGACAGAAATAAAAACAATAGAAACAACAAACAGGTGCAATTCTATTTATTTATCTTTCATCATAGAAATTCTAAATGTTTTTAATCTGTAAGATACCGTAGTTATAGCTTCTTGCTCAAGTTAACGCCCCTGGTGTTAGTATTTTCTACTTAAATGGGCTATAAACCACAGAAACTCAGTAGGAATCTTAATAAAGGGCCATGGGTGCATGCCATGCCTTTTTCTGTTTTACACACAAAAGTGAATGAAGGAGTTTACAATAAAGGGCACAATAAAAAAGTCTTCACCACAAGCATGCAACTGGGACGAAGAAACATACCGCAAACAGTCTGTTGCAAGTTTAAAATTAGATTTGGACCTGCTTTTTTCCCTGCCACTGTGCTGCAGTCTAGCACAAGAGGAAAATTACTTATTTGCTCCTTTTCTTGACTAAAAATTGTATTTGTTTTTCATAAAAGTTGGGGATCAGAAAGAAGATTATGCTTGTTATTGTTAAGAAAAAGCTGTCCAGGATGTTATATGCAGGGGTAAGCTATAGTGCAGTGAAGGT